GAATATAACGTTATAATTGTAAATATATAAATGTAAATCCAAATATATAGTTATAATCACACACACACACACACACACACACATATATATAAATACATATATATATATATACAATGTACTAATACATTTAAATCTAAAATATATACATATAAAATATGTATAGAAAATAATACATTTTAATAAATAGCGATTTAACAGTTTCCTGTTTGGCCTGCATAATTTATGCATGTATACAAGAGAATGTGTCTTAAAGATGTAGCACATAAACAAACTAAATGAATGGAAGTGATTCTGTAAGCAGCCTGTGAACTGGACTCTAGCAATACTTGAATCCAAATAGGTTTAAAATACTTTACATTTCCAGAGAGTCCTGCAAAAGGTCTGTTTAGATGTGCCGATGATGCACAGAATGGACAAGGTTCCAAATTCAGGGATTAAGAGAGTTTGTATAATAATAAACTCTGCAGAGTTCTGACTTTCCATATATTTATTTATTTATTTTGCTTTTGGGCAGAATTGTGGCTCTGGAACACTTGCAATATTCATTTGCACTTTATTAGAAACCATGAAATATGCAGCATCTATCAAATTTGAAAACTCTGCATTTAAGCAAATCACCTGGCATTTCCAGCATTCTGATAAGAGGGGTTAGGCGTGCATGTGAGTGTTGTAGAGGGTGGAATGAAAGGATACTTACAGAGGATGGAGAGCAGAACCAGGCCGAGCAATAGCAAGAGGTTTGTTTGGATGGAGCCGGCACGGCTGCAGTCCATTCTGTTCTTCTTACAGGTGCACACTTGAACTTTCAGTTCTGTGTTGTTGGATATTGGAGGCACGCCAGAATCGGTCAGAACCAGCGGCAGGTTGTAGTTAGCCTTTTTCAGACTGTGCAGCAACATGATCTGGGAGTGAGTGTCTGAAAAACATCAGAAAAAAACTTCTGGTTGCTTTACATGTCAGTCAGAGAGTATCTTCAACTCTATACAATCCTTATAAACCCCTCGACCTCAAATCACCTCACCAGTCCTCTCTTATTCTGTCTCTCTCTCAGTATCACAGCATCTGCCACTGATTCTCTTCTCAAACAGCTGACAGAAGTCTGGAGATTCACATGCCTTTCTATATTTGAGTGTGTGCTCTCAGGAGATGGGTAATCGAGAGTCTGCTAAGATAAACCCCAAATACACTCAGCTATTCGGTCAGCGTGATATCTAATGATACACTGCATTGAAAGGTTCTTTGGGGAACTCAAAGTTGCTCTTCTGTGGAATCAATGTGAAAACCCCCTTTTAAGGCTTTTTAGGGATGCCAATATTCAGTAATTTTCATGATTGAATGTCATGATCAGTAAATTTTGCCCAAATTTCTAAGCTGTTTTAGAGTGACACTCCATTACTAATTATTTTTTATGAATTTTCATGATTGATTGCCATTACAATTAACGACCAATTAAATGCGCACAATGTTTGCAGTTTAAGTAATTAATTTATAGAGAATTCTAATAATGTATGCATGTATATGCAGTATTTACATCACCTAATCACATTTTTACTAAATGCGCTTGTGCTGAAATTGATTAATCAACAATAAATCAATTAAGCTTAATTATATTACGGTAAACTTTTCCTTTAGTGAAAGCACCTTTTGTATTTCCTCAAACCGGCCCTAGAAATAGCCGGCATGTGTTTAACCGTGGGTCAGTGCCTGTCTCTGTCCCATTTGAGAATTAGCTTACCATTGATCCTGGAGATTTTCCATGTTTTCTCCAGTCCTGGCTGTTTGCCAAGTTCGATCTTGAAAGGATCTGTATTAGGATGAATGTCCTTGTCTCGTCCCCCGATCACCACCACATTCATGTCTTTAGCGTCCTCGCACACGCGGGCCACGGAGGGGAAGACGTAGGGAGCGTTGTCATTCTCGTCCTCCAGAGTGATTATCAGCTTACCCGTGCCCGAGGCGGGTGGACTTCCTAGTGAGACATCAGGCAGAGTTAAAAAGAATAAAGTAGGGCAGGACCAGCAGTTTTAGTATTGCAGTATCTAGATATTTTGAATTTATTTTTCATTTGAGTAATTTTGTTAATTGCTATTGTCATTTTTATCAGTGTTTGTAGCATGCCTATTTAGTTTTCATTTACTTTTATTTTAGTTTTAGCAATTAGTACTTCAACTTTAGTTTATTTTGTTTCAAATTTTCAGAAATTTTAATAGTTTTAGTTAAAAAAAAATAAATAAAAAATAAATATAAACTTGCATCTCTTTAAACTTTAATCTCACATTTACTTTTCTATAGTTTACTGTAAAAAAGGAAACAAGCTTCCATAAAGATCAGCAGAGAGTATTAAGAAAGTAAATTGGACACTTTTGATTTTCACAATCACATGAAAGTCCTTTGGCAGACTAAAGCTTTCTGGCTCTATAGGCCAAATCAATAGCTGTCTTTTGAATGCACAGGAGGATTGTGCTTAACACTCATTGGTGCGCTCAAAGCACCAGCATCTCACACCGACTGACTGTTACTGTAAAGCAAAGTGGGTTAAAGACTTCTTACAACCAGAGCCACAAGCAAAAAAAGGTCAGACTGGATGCATCAGAAACACAGACAACAGCAATCAATGTCTATACAGAAAAAAAACAACAACCGCAAATCAAAACATTCAGTCTTTGACTTGGAGTAACAACAATTATCTCGCCTCACTTTGTATCAGATTGCACTTTATTGAATATTGCACAGACAAAAAATACATTATTCAAGGCTTTTGGAATATTCTGTTTCTAGGAGATTAGCAGTTATTGCAGGACTGCATAATTATAAACAGCCCTGGAGGTCACTCGCAATTAACATCCGATGACAGGATCAGTAATTACAGAATGATTTTGTCCTCGTACTGCCAGGAACGCTCAGGCCTCAAAGGGAAGAAGAAAAGGCACGGTGTCAAAACATTGGAGCAAGTAATGTCTCAGTAGAAAAAGAAATCAGGTTTGTTCCAAGCGTTTAGAGGTAGAACAATGATGTCCTTGCCATGTTTTATTGATTTTCTGTTCAAAAAGATTGTCAACTATGTAACAAGCCATTTCACAATATGAAAAATAATGCGTGTCCATGGACAAAAGCAAGCTGTCTCGCCTAACACCATTAAAGCAGCAGACTTCTCAGTATGCTTCACAGAAGTAAACATGTCCTGCCATGAGCGATAACAGCTATCTGATTTATAAATCATGAACTCTTAAAAAATTTAGATGTGGCTTGTGTGTGCATTAGTAAATAGTCCATTGCTTCGGTTTCAACACCAATGAGCAAACCTGCGACTGAAATACGCCAAAGGTCAAGGCAAGTATTACATAAATACAGCTGTTTTGGTATATGGTAGTGACTGAATATAGATTAGGTTTCTGCTCATAACAACAGCTATTAACCGCTTTCTGACCCAAACAACAAGATCAGATAAAAATCCCAGAAGCGACTCTAGAATATTCAAGGGGGATTTAGGGGGGCTCGGACACCTAGCAGAGCATGAGCTGATGTGATTCGGAGTAATATTTCAGTCCTTAAAGGAACAGTTCACCCAAAATTGACTGAAAATGTACTCACCCTCAGGTCATCCAAGATGTAGATGAGTTTGTTTCTTCATCGGAACAGTTTTGGAGAAATTTAGCAAATTTTACCTCTGCAGTGAATGGGTGCCGTCAGAATGAAAGTCCAAATAGCTGATAAAACATCACAATAATCCACAAGTAATCCATGCAACTCCAGTCCATCAGTTAACATATTGAGAAGTAAAAAACAGTGTTTGTATGAAACAAATACATCATTAAGGCATTTCAACCTGATTATGGCCAAAATACCAGTCTATAATCCATAATAATGCTTCCTCCATTGAAAAATTCTATCCCTTGTTGTCCTCTCAAATCAAAATCAACAGACATATTTGTTTAGAACCATTTTGGAACATTTTCGTTTGTAAATGGTGCTTGATCTGTGCATATATTTCTCTCCCGATTCAGACAAGACGACATTTTCACTGGAGAAAGCAATATTATGAATAGAGGACTCGCATTTTAGCCGGAAGCAACTGTTTGAATTTAAAAAACAAAACAAAAAAAAAAACTCTTAATTATGGATTTGCTTCTTACAAACACACAGCTTTTCACTTGACAAGATGTTAATTGATGGACTGGAGTTGTATGGAGCACTTGTTGATTATTATCAGCTGTTTGGATTCTCATTCTGACGGCACCCATTCACTGCAGAGGACCCAATGGCAAGCAAGTGATGTAATGCTAAATTTCTCCAAATCTGTTCCAATGAAGAAACTAATTAATCTACATATTGGTTGACCTGAGGGTGATAAAATTTTCAGTACGTGTACATTTTTGGGTGAACTATTCCTTTAAGTGCAAGAGGTCGGCAGTTAAAGTCTTTCTTGTCAACTTTTTATAAATAAACATGAAAATAGCCTCTGTTTGTCAGTAGATCAGTAACTATGAAGTATCTGGTAGCATGTTATTGTGTTATTTCACTGGCACGGAGAGTGTTCGGTTGAGAGATCACGTCTGTGACGAATATAGACACTAAAAAGGCCTTTGGATGTATTCATATTTAATGTACCACACCGCTACATACTCAAGTGAGGTTTATACATAAATGAAAATGTAATAAAGTTAATATTAAGATATTACATGAACACACTATAGCTTATATTAATATATTGTGTCTCTCGCATTTTGACTGATATCAGACATGCATCTGAATCTAAACAGAAGATGAAAAGCAAACACTTCCAACCTTTCTGAAATTAGCAATATTCCAGCAGCAATATGAAACTTCATTATGATTAGTTTTGGTTTGGTGAATACAAACATTCCACATATTGCTACTGACCTCCAAATATCTTTTGAAATGCATTTGTTTTCTCCCCAAAGACTATGAAAATATTTTAACTTTGCACAAGGGAATTACTGTGCATATTGAGACAAATTTGTCTTTATTTATTTATTTAAATTATGTCTATTTACTTTTTAAAAATGCGTTAAGTTTTTTTCTTTCCTTAAAATAAATGCTACTTGGTTTGACCTAATGCAATTACATTCATACATTTTTTAATGTAAGCATAACATTTATGAATCTACCATATATTTATATTTATTTTTTATCAAATTAAAGCCTTGTGTCACATCAAATTCAACAATGTTTTATGTCCCCACTATATAATAATAATAATAATAATAATAATAATAGTTAATGAATAATAATGAATGCATAAATCAGTCAATAAATAAATAAACACACAATGAAAAATATACTAATTAATAATAATAATAATAATAATAAATTCATGAATGCATAAATCAGTCAATAAATAAATAAACAAATAATGAAAAATATACTAATTAATAATAATAATAATAATATGGTAAGGACTAACTACATTAGAAAGAAAGAAAGAAAGAAAGAAAGAAAGAAAGAAAGAAATGGATATTAAATAACTTGTCCAAGAACTTCATTACTCAATACATGAACTCTCTATAATACAACTGCAAATGCTATCTCTCTAACTGTTCAGTACATTTTCAGCAAAGCAAAAATTAAAATAAACTTATACATCGCCTAAGCAAGCAAATCTCATCAGCCAGGCTTTATGAAGCTCTTCTGTGTGTGCTGTGGGACTGAGAGAAGACATATACGCATGAGGGAATGCAAATCCTCCCCATTTACACATGGCTGCTGTACGTGGTTAGAAAGCATTAAAGTTGTTTGTCTTCACTAAGAAAAAAAAGCCACATTCCCTCGCTCGATCGCTCCATAGTCTTTACCATCTTCATCAGCATCATCATCATAATTATCTTCGGCAGTGCTAAAAGCTACCTCATCGTCTAACTCACATTGAAGGCCTATTACACACGTTTAGATGCACGGTAAAGTGTTCTAGAAATGAGCAGCAGCCCTTCATGTTGCAGTTTATCACTTAATAACTTTCATTTTAGAAACCGACGACCCCTGTAACATTGGTATTGATTAAGGTAAACGTGAGCGGAAATATACAGCAGACTTCATGAATAGCTGAGTACACACCGCTTTGTTTAACAAGCAGCATTGTCATAAAATATATTCATGAGACACGGATAAGAAAGGGTTGTTTGCATAAATATGTCTATTACATATGCAGCATGTAATGGAACTGGATGTTTCAGATGCTGTCTTTTTTCCCTTCCATAATGAGAGTGATTTATTTTCTCCTTTGTTATGGTGCGCTGATATATATATATATATATATATATATAGGCTCACATCTTTTCTGACTTTGCTGAGATCCAATTCCCTCTTCTCTAAACTTCTTTCTAATGCATCACTAAACATTGGTGATATGGAAAGGATAGACAGTTTTTCAGCCTCACAGCTGTTCGTGAGCAGATTTGCAATCAGATGCAAAACTGTCCTTTGTCTTTTCCCTCTGCATTAAAAAAATAAATTTAAATTTTTTATGGCCGTGAACACTCTTCCTGTTTTATGGCCAGCTAAAACACAGCTTGCACACTGTAAATAGCCTACATTTTACATACTGCAAAAGTCTTAGTGGATGTTTTTTAATTTTAAATTATTTTTTTTACAAAAACCATATCTAAACCTTTTTTTCCTTTGTGTAACAGTAGAACGCTTTTGGAAAGGTTTTGCAATATCTTATTTATTTTTGCTACTTCTCCAAAGTTTATAACGTCACATTTTTAGCCTTATGAAAATATGAAAATCCAACCAAAAAATATGAACAGTACCACTATAAAATTAGTAAAACTAATTTAAATGGTTAAATCTAAATAAAAAAGTATGCATGCCCCACATTGTGGTGTTATTTCTACCAAAGCAAATTATGAATGTTCCACATTTTGGGTGTTATTTCTACCAAAACAAACAATTTTGCTCCCAATGTGTAATATATTTTTAAGTGAATGTACTTGGTTACCCAGGAGACAA